TTAATTAGTGTCATTTGTAACTTTTTATTGTTTGGGAATAGGGATTCAAATGTTTACCTTGATCATGTTTTCACTTTTTTGTTTTTGTGGCAGCTATGTGAGGATCATGAAGTTCTCAGTTTTATCAAATACAAAGTATTTGATCCAAAACGTAAGTAAATATTTTTTGGGTTTTTTAAAGATTTGTTTGGGGGTTTTTTTCAACAAAATGTTCTCTGAGGGAAATATCCCAATTCATTTGTTTCAACAGCTTCTGCCAAGACACTCTCTGGTCTGTTGGAATGGGAATGCAAGACAGATGCAGTGGAAGCCCTTACTGTACTTAATCACTACCAGATAAGAGTCCCAAGTAAGTCATTTAAATTAAGACTTCAACCATTTGTAAAACAGTAATTTTTCCCCTTTGTGTTGAGTCTTTGATATAAAATGTTGGACATGTGTAATTTTGTGAATCTGCAGCTAAAAACACATGACTTTCTTTTGCATGGCTTTTTTCTAATACATTCCAGTAATCCTAGTGACAAGATTTAAGGTTTCCTAATGCACATTCTGTTTGAAGAAAGCTTTCTCAATGATAGGTACTTAAAGTTCCATCAGTGGAAGTAAGTCAGAAAAAAATGGGATCCTTTTAGGATCCAAGTACAAAAGTTATGACAGCCACATAGGGATGAGAAACTCTGAAAGAGTTGGGCCATTGCTCAGATTCCTTGGGTTTGGACAGAGCTTTATTTGAACTGCTTCAATTCCAAGTACTTTTATTTCCATGCAGATATGAGTATCCCCCTGCTCTGGAGTGGCTATGACAGCATGTGCTTTCAAGCAAGGGGCTGGAAAGCAAGAATCCTTACATGCCTCTTGGCCTCCAGTTTCCTAAGGACAGCTGAGTGCACAGGAAAGAATACTTGTTGGCTGTCTGCCCTGCCCCGCTTCCCACCTGTATATGGGGGAAGGAGTGCTGTGGAATGCTAGAGGACCAAACAACCCATCATTGTGCTCTGCTGGAGTGTGCAGATATTTCAGGAAGCGCTTCAAAATGAAGTGGTTCAAAGAGGTTCCTTTTTTTTCCCTGAGGGTCATATTTGAAGTGCTTCATCAGGCACAAATGCCTGCACCTTTGCTGTTTGTAGTGCTTCAAGGCCCTTGGAGTACTTCAGACAGAAAAGCTGTCTGTGGCATGCATCACAAAACTATGGATGTGCTCAAACAGGACTAAAGGAAATGAAGAAACTCTTGTTATAAAAATGGGATTTAAAGTATTTGACATATAGGCTCTCTTGAACCCTCAAAGGAGGTAAATAAAATCCATCTATATTCTGGAATATTTCTGGAACTTGTATTTTGCCAGATTGAATGACTTTAAATGTTTAGAGGTTGAAAAACTTCAGTACAAACCATTTCTGCCAAGTGTCTGTCTAATCTGCACTTAATTCCAAGGATGGAACAAGGGAGGGTAGTAGAATCTCCGGTGTTTAATCACCCTTATTGTTAGAAAGCTCATCCCAGTCTCCAACCTGAACTTCCCCTGCTGCAGTTTAAAGACATTGCTCCTTGTCCTGTACACTGCAACCACAGAGAATAGTCTGTCACAGGGGCGGGCAGTTATTTTGGGCGGAGGGCTGCTTAGAGAGTTTTGGCAAGCTGTTGAGTGCTGCGTGGGTAGCCCTACCCTGTGACATGCCCCGCCCCCTGGTCACCATCTTGTGCCCGGAAGTCCCGCCCCCTAACCCCTGACTTTTGCCGCCAGAAGTCCCTCCCCTTGCCTTTGGAAGTACTCCTTTCAGCAAGGGGTTTTGCCATCCTGGAACCAGAAAAATACCAAATTATATTCTAAAAAGCAAACATCTACAACATTGATTTTAAAAAAATATATTTTTGTCCTGGTTTACATGTCTTTGTGTAGTATGCATAGAGGCGATTGTATATACTAGTTTAAAATGAAGTCTCACTCTTGTATGTTGTTGGGGGGGAGGGGCTGTGGGGGTATGGATAGGTGTGGGGGTGTGAGTGTGGGGTGATGGAGTGTGTGTGTGTATATGTGGTGTGGGGGTGGTTATGGGGTTTGTGGGGGCTGTGTGGTGGGGAGGGTGGCTGGCATGTGTGAGGGTTTGTGTGTATGGGGTCTGCATGTATGGCAGTGTGAGGGGGGGTGTGGGTGCATGTGTATGGTGGGGGGTGCATATAGGAATTGCCCTATGAACACGCGCGCGCACACACCCCCTACCCTCCCATTCCTGGCCCCAGGGTACCAGTGTGGCCCCATGTTCCCTGGTCCAGCGATGTAGCCAGGAGCCACATGGTGCTGGAGCAGTGTGGGGTGGTAGGAAGGTAGGGAAACGGCTGAGTGGGGTGGGGCTGGCCTGCTGCGTCCTGCTGAGGCTCCACCTCTGTCCTACTGCCCCTTGCTCCTGTCATCTCTGACAGGCAGCCAGGAGCAAATAAATATTAATTTACTAAATTTTTTAGGGGTCCTGCGAGCCAGATAGAATAGCCTGGCAGGCCAGATGTGGCCCATGGGCTGTATTTGCCCACCCCTGGTCTATCACCATCCTCTTTATAAGCACCATACAGATATTTGACTATGTATCAAATCCTCCTTCAATCTCTCCTTCTCCAAACTAAACCAGACCTAGTTCTTTCAACCATTTCTTATAAGTCCCATGTCCTAGACCTCTGATCAAGAAAGACATGGACAAACTGGAAAGTCAGCAGAACAGCAAAAAATTAAGTGCAGTGTCCCAAACTGACACAGTACTCCAGGTGAGGTCTAGCTAGTGCTGAATAGGGTGAGAAAAATTGCTTCCCTTTTAATTTGCAGATGATACTCCCACTAATAAGCCCAGTATGCTATTGGCTTTTTTGCAACAACAGCCCCCATTGTCGACTCCTATACAGCGAGTGGTCCACTAAACCTCCCAGTCTGCCTAAAGATATTTTAAGTTACAATTATTAATACTTACCATCCCCATGAATCTGAACAGTTTAAAACACTTGCTGCTGATGAAAATTGTCCTGTATGTACAGGGAGTTAGGTTTACCCTTTTTGGCATCTAAAACATAATGAATAAGACTGTTTGATGTCATTTGAGAGAAGATGGAAATAGAGAGGCAGAGGCATAGAGGGGGAAGGAAAATACTTTGTTTTCTCTAATACCATAACATAATATAAGTCAGTTCAGAGAGACTTATTTTAAAAAGGTGGACAACAATATTAAAGCATAAAGAACTGGTACTTCATACAGTAATGTTACTCCAGGTGTACTGTATCACTGGGCCAAGCACCCTTGATCTTCAGAGTTGTAGTTGTGTTACCAGAGCAAGAGCATCTGGTATGTAAGGTAGAAAGGCAGTATTACACATTACCTTCTTGCAGAGCTGTCGGAGCTGTGGGTTTCTTGCCCTTCCTCTCATAGTTTGAGCAAAAATGAAATTGTTCCTCCTATTGGCCTTTACCTTTTGTTAGCAGTTTTAATTTCTTTCAGCTTTTGAATGTCACTAAGCAGCCACCTACCTCCTCTTGCCTGTGAAATTGCCTTTTAGGTGTTACTATTGCAGGTTCTTTGGGAGGCCAGTACCAGTGGGAAAACTTTCTTACACATAATGTTTCAACTTCTGGATGCTGTGCCATGTGCATGTGGTCTGAATTACTTTTTTTTTTTTTTTGTCAGACGGTCTACGAAGTGTCACCATTCTGTAACTAACACCTTTTCATAAGACATTCAGTGTCTGAAGGTCAGAGTTCCTAAAAGAAAACAAGCCAACCAACCGATCAAAACTGTCAGGCAGTGCATGGTGTTTTCACTGCATATAACTTGTCAGTCAAATTTTTATACTTAACATTTTGTTCTTATTTTTCACAGATGGCTCTAATCCTTATACCTTGAAGCTTTGCTTCTCAACTTCATCCCATTTATAGACAGAAGACAGCTTGCTAGGAGCTACATTCATCTTGATTTGCAAGCTTGAAACTACATGTCATTCACAAGCTCTAAAGTGGTTGCTCTAATGTTGCCTTGTCTCAACTTAATTCTAAAATCTTCTATCTTGTTTTATAATAAATGGATGTTCCTTCATTAATAGAAAGCAGAGCTTTTCTTTTTGCCTCTAAAGAGTACATGTTGTAAACCTATTATGAACATTTTGTTTTTCATTGAGGTATAATATTATCTACAAGAGTTAGAGCAGTCTTATAGATTTCATATGCAAGATACTGTGTACTGTTCCAGACCTTAACATTTTAATTGTTTTCATCCACAAACGAAATATATTTGCATTTTCAATAATGTTAAAAAGATTAGCAAGTATTTTTCCATTGTAGGTTTAATTGGCAGAGAAAACTATTACATTGGAATATTAAATGTAGAATTTCTTTCTAGTTACATGTTTGGGTAGTTAAGTACGTTGCAATTATTAATACTAAATAAGTTTGTATATATAAAATGTTTAATCAGGATAATGTTGCAGATACTAAATTTTGAGTGGTGTAGACTTACCTGATTTATATTTCAAAAAGATGGCAAAATTAAGTGAATACCTTTGTACAGAATGCACTCAAATTTATTGACCGTGGTTATGGTTTTTAAAAGTCACTTTCCACTTCCATTGGCACGATATCACCTATTGCTAGGCCCATCTTGGGGATCTTTTTTAAATTAAAATTTCAAGCCTGAGTCAGTGTGTTCATCCTCATTTTCTGCATGTGAATTTTTAAATCTTTAGTGTTCAGTATTAGCCTTGAGGTGGTTTTTTTATTGACATCATTTATTTAAAAAAATTGATTTTTGGAAGAACTGGAAAATTGGTCAGGGCAAAACAATGAACGTTTGAAAGAAAGATGGGTGTTTCATTTAGTAAGTACTTCAGACATGCTGCATACTGGGCCCTCTTATTTTTTAATTCATACTTGGTGTCAGTAGTCATGCTGTATATTTCTTTATTAGTGATTTAGTTTATATTTTTTATCATGATCGCGAAAGGAATTAAGTAGACTTCATTCCCCCTTCACATGTAGTAGTATGAATTGGTCCATTAAAGTCAGGAAGGTTACATGGTATAATATTAATGAGATCAGAAATGGTCTATTTTTGTCCTTTGCCAGCTAAGAGAAAATGTATTTGTATTATAACCCTAGAACCTCCAGTCTTGGACGTGGGTCCCCACTGTCCTTGGTCTCTAAATGTGCAGCAGGGTGTTTTTATGCTTCCTCCAATTGGTTATAGTTAATTATCAAATTAAAGTTACTTTAGCTGATCATAGACATTAGGTAGGAAAAACTTATTGATTAGATTTTCTATTTCATCCACCACGTACGTGTAGGACACGTTCCTGTGCATCTTTCAGACAGTGGCTGTTCTGTTGCTCATTGCAGAGAATTCTGCAGCCTAAAAGATGTGGCTGTTAAAATGGTAGTTAAAATATCCCCATTAATTTCAAGTTAATTATACCTCAGCTTACAATGTATAGTGTCTTTTCCCTTTCAGAGCATCTTTCAAGTACCTGTGCTCTATCTTTCAATTAACCTAATTAGTATTGATTCATTCTGGCTTTCCATTATCCATGTGTCTCTTGTTCAGCTGCTCAGTACTCAATGTGGGACACTTGCCTCCTTCCTTCATATATATGTCAGTGCACAGACTAAAATGGTGTACTCTTATGGTTCTGTTGCACTGTAAACTGGCTTAGTGTTCTGTTATTACTAGGCTTCCCTCAGCCGTGCTACTTCACCATCAAATGACTTCTGTTGAGTTTCCAGGCAAGGAAATCGCATGTCTCATGCCTTGCTTATCACAAACCCAGTAAAACTACTTGAAATATTTAAACATTCCAGCCCTACCACCTCTCCAAATCCTTTTCTCATCTACTGGCCTGAATGATTAATGGGTGCCTGCTTCTTTGTCATAATATTCCCTTTGTAAGTTGTACTTAATTACACTGGTTGTTGGTGTCGGTATAGTTTTCGCGGTTTGAGGTAGCTTAATATTGGAATAGAGAGCCAACCACTGGCATCATTGAGGGGTTCGGGTTGAATGTTAAAGCATTCAGATTTTAAAAAATGTATTTAGTGTTAAAACACCCTTAATGCAGTGTCTTGTGTCTAAGATGCTCTAGTGACAGGTATCTTTTCCATGGCTGTTCGGCATAAATGGAGTGAGCAGCTTCTAGGGGACTTTTCCTAAAGGATGTTACAGCAACTGGAAATCCCTGCTCTCAAACATCTGAGCAGTCTGTCCCCAGGCTGGGTATTCATCCAAAATCCCACTCTTCCCTTCCATTGAGAATCGTCCAGTCTGCCTCAGAGGTGGGAATCGGGGAGTCTTTGCCATTGTTATACAAAGAAATTGATGCACAGGGGACATCCTTTTGGGGCTGAAGAGATATGGTGTTGTTCCTCAAGGAGATGGTCAGATTTGGTTTCCCTGCTCATTGCATGAGGTCTGGATCCATATGGCTACTCTCAGCAGAAACTGAATAATGGGGTAAGGAGGGAGCTGCTACAGGAGAAACCAAGGTCTGTGTTGTATGGGAAGGTGACTTTTGGCAGTCTCCTGTTTGCTGTTACATACTTGTTAAGCAAATTAATGTTCTTTGAGGCAGTTTTGGCACTCAAAACGGTGAATGCTGATATGCAGAATACTTGCGTTTCTAAGCAGCCTGCATTTGTATTTTCAGACATCCACACCTCTATCTCAGTTCAAAAATAAGTGCTGTTTTTAAAATCAGGCTTCAACTATTTGACTTCATTGGGGCAGAATGACTGAAGTGGAAGTGAGGCCTTGCTTTCTGACCATGCCCTTATCATAAACAAACTGTAATTTATTCCTTCACAAATATTTATTGTTTTCTTTGAGATTGAGACGAGTTGTTGATCTTTGGCTTTCCAGTGCTGTCACTGAGCTAGGGTGATTTTTGGAGATAGATTTTAAAAGATGCTCTTCAGGAAAAGACAGACAGATGCACACTTTTTTTCCCCTGAAGAAATTATACAATTTAATGCAAAGTTGCAAAGTGTGCCTATAGTAGGGGATCATGTTTCGTCTGACTGAAACTCCTCTTTTTAATTAAAACACAGAATTTTACTTCTGTTCCTGCTATGTGGTTCTTGCAACCTGACTTTTTAAAATATATTTGAACCCAGGTATGATGCCTCAGTAGGAGATGTTCACTGTTTCTCTGAGCTAATGCAACCCTTAAGTTTGGCAACACTAACACAGCATAGGGGCAGGAGGGAAGGAGAGAACCCATACACCCTACCTGTATAAAGGCTTTTGGAAAAGTGAAGCCCAAGGATGAATTCCCAGCTTCAGTGACGGACAGAGCCCCTACAAGAGGTTTTTCAGCCTCTCAGTGCGTTGGTATAGGGCGTTCACACAAGTTGCCCTGTGAGCCAGGGAGGGAGCAAATGATAGGAACATCATCTTTGTCATAAACAACTTTCATTTTAGCAAAAGAAAACACCTGTTTGAAGTCAGCAAAACTTTTCCCACTATACAATCAAACCAGCTGCTTTGCTTATATAGGTATTTCTTGCAGCAATACACTTACTGCATTTCAGGTGGTTACTTCAGGCAACCTCAAACACTGTTTGACTCTTTTTCTGCTGTCACTGTAACTTGATATCTTGCTACCCCTGATGTTTTGCAGTTGGGTTACTATACTATTTTCTCTGATGTTCTTTAACAACTTATCTCCCTTTTTAACACTTGTTTCTCAAATCTGAAGTTGGATTCCTGAGCCTGGTGTTCCCTTGAATAGCAGCTTTGGGATTATGTGTATCCATGCCATCCAGGTTACAGCACAATTAAATAAGATTTTTCCCTTCTGGTCATACTCTTTGCTTTGATATTTCATCCTCATAGAAAACTGAAGATCACATCTCACTGTACATGGTGTGATAATTAAAACAGCTGGGGGGGGAACCTGCCTCTTGCTCCAAACTAGTGGTTTTCAGTCTAAGAGAATCTGAGTCTCCTACAATGGCTTTTCACAGTGTAGCTAGCTTCCTCTTAGTGTTTCCTCCATTCAAATGTGTATTAACCCATTAGTTTTCTTCTCCATCTGCCACCCTGCTTCAATCCTTGCAGCTGCTGGTGTCAGATCGCAATTCCTAGCATAGCTATTTGTTCTATGTTCCTATGGCAGCTGCGAAGTGAGGGGGTTTTACACAGAGGAATTATTTTTTTTTCTTAAAGAGGGGAGGAATTCTCACGTAGGAATTTGGAAAACAAGCAGAAGCCTACGTGGTACAACCCAAAGCAAAACAATTGACTCTCTATTCCAACGCATCTGAGTTTCAGCATGACAGTTGGCTCTGGAAGGGATAGCTTACTCTTCAGCTGCCGAGGGTCTCTGCCCAAGCCTGGGATGTACACACGTGTTTGAAAACTATTCTTGTATAGGCATGGAGATTGTTGATGAATTTGTTGGCGTTTGACTTCCTGTTAAATCAGAAATGTTTGACATGCCTGTGGAGAGAAAAGCCACTGGGGTTACCCACTGATTTTCAGAACCATTTACTCATAATATTTTTCATATTTGTATGTAAGTGAAGAAGTAGGTGGGAGATTCACATCCTGAATTTCACTCCATTAGACTATTGCTACTTATGTCCCAAAGGCCATTTTGAGTAGAAGAGCCAATTCCTTCCCCAGTGTGTTCATTAGACTTGTGCTTCTGAATTCCATGGGACTTGTTGAAAATGTCCCTCCTAGTGTGTTTGGAGCAGCAAATGCCATTAAAGTTGCTGGATGACTTGTTTACAGCCCTCTATTTTTGTTCCTTCATAATGTTGTGAAAAAAAATTTCAACCTGAAGCTAGCTGTAAGGGGCACTTATTCCGATCCTGGATAAACCTTTTCAAATCAGTCTTCATGGAGATGTGTCATAAGGGAGAAGCAGTGGTGAGAACTTGGGAAAATATTCTTTAATGTTATGAAGTTATAAAATATTACAAAATCAATTTCACACACACCTAGTAAAAGGTTGATGGAGATGGAAATCACGTTTTGCTTGTGGTGCAAATAACTCCAAAGGGCAGCAGAAGCACTGCATATCTGCAGTGTAACTGGATTTAAGT